CCGTAGTGGTGTTATTTTTCCTGCATTCCAAAATGTAGGTGGGAAAATTACAGTACACTTTTAAGATTTCTTATTGTTTTGCTTAGTTCTATTACATAAATTTCATAGCTTTGCCAGGACTGGGGGTGAGGAGAGGATATCATGACAGAATTTTTGAGAAATTAAAGGTTTGAACACAGTCTGAATGAGTTCATGTGCTTCATATTTCATTTAGTTATTGATCTATTTTGTCCTTTGGATAGGGGAAATTTTAAAAAGACTTGGACCGTCTATGACTAGTTATAGCCAATAAGATTATGTTTTACATAATTTATTTCTAATTTCTTCTTGCTTAGGAGTATCTCACTGGTGAAAGAATGAAGACTGATCCAGCTGAGATAAGATTCGATCCAAGAGTATCCAGAGCGGTTAGTAGTGACTACAAGCTTTCTTTAATTACCAACTACCCGCCTAATATAATAGCAGTACTTGATAATGGGAGTTAAACTGTTGCTGTTATTCTGTTTGGACTGGAATTCCTTTCCAGATTAGCTTCTGTTTGAAATGAGTGGCCCAATTACCCAAGATTTAGGAAGCAGGGCTCCATCCACCATTTTACTTGAATGGCAGGATTAGCAGTATAGGGAAGAAACCCGGTCATTATTGAAGAGTGCCAAAGTACCAACACAGAGCTTACAAATGTTTCTTTTTCTGCTTCACAGAATTTGTTGGTCCTCCAATAAATTAATAAATTTGTAGATGAAAGCAGTTATACCTTTGACATGGATATTTCCGTTTTTTACTAAATTCCCCCAAAATAGGTCTATTAACCATCACTCAAGAAAATTTTGAGGCTTCATTTTTAACACTGACAAAAATTTTACATATTAGTCTGATAAACAATTCAAAATTTTGTTTTAATTCTGTGCTCCATATAAAAACTTCTGTGGAAACTTTATAGAATATGTTAAAGATTTAACTGAGTATAATGAGTGATGGTAGATAAGACATTAGAAATAATACCTGGCTTAACAATTTACAGGTAATTTGCAGAGAAAACTATAAGAGTACAGGATTTGGCAACATCTCCTGTTTACCTTCCCCATCTAATTTCCCAGCTCAAAGTAAACACTAACTGGATAAATACACACAATGCTTTAGAAAACGGCTTTGCTCAAGCAGCTGTACTTTGCTTTCAGAACTTCTCCAAAGCTCCATCATGAAAATAATGAAAAAAACCCAGCAACAACATAAGAAAAAGACACAAAGGAAAACCTGCAATTATTGAATAAAAACCTGAAGGAATGGCTTGTTCTTTAAGCATACATGACAACACCAGGAACTGCTGTGGACATTTTCTTCGAGTTTAATGTACACTCAATTCTTTACAACTGCAGTCGAGATCTTGTTTACAAGATCTAGGATGCTGACAAAGATGGCACAATCAGTCATGGAAAACAGTTATAAAGCTTAAGATTTGGAAAAAAAAGGACTTAAACTTCCATTTTTGCAAAACAGCAAAACTGAGTTCAAATCATGAAAGTAAAATTGTGACAACAAATAAAATCAGAATGCTAAATCATAGAAAATCAATGTGGGAATCACAATATAAAGACAAACAACCCCCAACTCACTGAATATTTAAAGTGAACATCCTCAAACATTGACATATTTCTTAAAAATGGCTAACTTGTCACTGAATTTTCTTTGAAACATGTGGACAACTGTACTCGCTTTTCTCCTGCTAAAATTAAAGCGCCTGCTCCAAAGGGGAGCAAAAGAATCACTGTGGAAAGCCCACACAAGTGGGAAACAGTGACTGTCTGGGCAAGAGAGGCCATTAAAAGATATGAATATATTAATTACTCCCTGGAGCAAGCCTTGCTAGGAGATGCAGTCACATGCACACAAGGAAGATGGAGAAAAATATAAAAAAGCTGAAATGCATTTCAACTATTCCTTACTAACAGAAAAGTATCAACATGTCCTGAAAATGGTCAGGACATCAGGGTGTGGAGAACACCAACTCCTCTGAGTGTAGGCTTGACTCAGCAGAGCTGGAGGTACCAGTTATAAGTACCAAGTGCCCACCCCTATGACAGGGGCATGTCTTGGGTATAGTTTCTCTTAGGTGGGTGCAGAATTCCTCTTCCAGAGTTCCTCTGGTTCCATTTAATCCTCACCATCTAATAAAACAAAATTCATTGAGGACATGGGAGTAGGCCTGTAACATACAGTAGAGTTTGGCCAAAATGCTGTTTCTTTGAAGAGAGATAAATGTCTTTTTCATTAGCAAGGAATGAAAACCATTCTCAGATGGAAATAATGTTTTCAAAGGAAAAGGCAAAAATTGAACTAAGAAAAAAAAAGAAAAACAGCAAAAAACCTTCACCGAACCAATGAAAAATTGCTCAGATAAACATGGCTAGAAAGAAAACAAAACCTCTAAATATTTCTATTCATTTTTTTAAAAAAAATATATTCCTCTAAACCAACATATTGGTTTAGAAGAAATTACTACAAATAGAAAAGCTGATTATTGCTAACCACAATAATCACAAAATTCTTAGCCTGCACTCTAGTATATGCATGTGCAAATATTTGTAAACTAAAAAACCCCACAGTAAATATGGAAAAAATGTGGCAGGATATTGGGTCAAGTGCATATTTCCTTCAGAATGTATTTCCATGCAGACAGACATTATGACTGGAGCTTCAGCCATGCAAGATTTAGGAAAAAAAACTGCTGCAAATAAACCAGAATTTTCCATTTTTTTTATTCCATTTTTAATACTTAATAATCAAACATAGCTCACAGATACCTTCCCAAATCTACCTTAATTTCCCTGAGTGAAGTCAGATATGATCTCAGAGGACACATAAAACTGAGAAAAGGGAAACTGAGTGTATTCTGCAATAGAAAACTGTACGTCAGCAAATGCCAGGGGAAAGTTATAGTATCATGGCCATACAAGATTAATAAAAAGAAATCCAACACTGAGATTAAAACACTCTACCTTAGCAAACAAAAATGTCTTCTACTTCCTGCTTACTTTTTTTCCACTTTTTTTTCCCCCTCTTCAAATATCCACAAAATCAAAAACCGTAGGTGAAGATAATCCATTACCATTGGAGAGCAGCAGAGCTTTGGCACAAAAAAACCCCTTCAGTTCTCAGTGTTTTGTTGGGCTTTTCTTTTTGGTTTGTTTTGAGGGCTTTGATTATTTAAAAAAAGAAGAAAAAAAACGAAAAACAAAAAATAAAACTTTCCAAATGGATTCATACCTGCATAGAAAGTACTTTCCACACCACTTGTATCTGTTTTTTCTTACAAAGATATTACAATAAATTAGTTTGTAGTAATACCTTTCTATTCATTAAAACTACACACAATTTTCAGACCTTGTAAGTCTCCCAAGTTCAGTTGCTTTTCCTTACAGACTTTCTAGAATCTAAAGAAATACTTTAAAAATGTTATATTTTAAAATATAACACAATACTGACATTATAGAATTTACTTCTGCCTCTTAGTTTATAATCCCCCTCATTCCAACAGCACTGCAAACCAAATAGCCCCTGAAGCTCTTAATGTGAATAATAGAGCCCATTTTTGGGATGTTATTCATCACAATCAGGGTACATCTTTTTTTTCCTATAGTTAAAAATACAGATTCACCAAAAAAATATACCTCATCATGGAGGAAAAAAGATATTTTTAGATATATGAGACAAATGTATCAATTTACAGATTTCACCTATGAGATTACACCTCTGTTGTGAGTTCAAAAGAAAATTAACAATCAGTAGTAAGGAAATTAAAATACCCCACTGGAAGACAGAAATTAAGGAAAATTCTGGGGGTTTTCAGCTGGAAAAAGGAGGATCCTCACATTACCTGCCCATGTGGTCACCACAGATGTCTAAACCACATCAATACCTGAGTGAGACACTTCTCCAAACCCAATTCAAAATACATAAATTACAGCACACTTATTTTCTCCTCGCAGTTTAGGCTGACTGCTGAAGTGCTGTTTATGCATAGAATAAGGTATTGGTGCTCCAAATTAAACTGCAGGTTTTCCTCCTCTTTACTGACTGACTGCATACAGGACCTAGAGACACTAAGGCTCCCTGCTATTCCATTTTTTTTCTGGCCACAGCACGGGTAAAATGTTCATCTAATAAAGAAAACTGTTCCCAATGATTCATTTTTTATTTGCTTTAATAGGAACATATACATAAAAATAATAATAAAAAGGGGCAACAAAATAAAATACTACAAAGATGATGCAATTACCACCTTGGGAATAGGAGAAAGAATGAGCCAGACACGACAGATGTGAGCTGCATCATTTAGTGTCTAGCTGCCAGGCTCCTGGATACTGAAATGGTGAAAGAAGCCTAACAGAATATGACTGGAAAGGTAATGGAAAGCAGACACAAACCTTTGATTGATGGTTAGCTACAGCACTAAACTTAGACTTCAGAAAGGATGAAGAATATTTAATTCTTCATTAAAATGGTGCCGAAAGAATGGTGTCAAACTCAATTCACAGTTAGTATTTTAGCTAATTACAGTCACACATTTAAAATTACTACAACTGTGGGGGAAAAATTGAAATCAAATTTGTGTAGGGGAGCATAGCAGTTAAGCAGTGATTATCAAGGAAAATTATGTGGCTTCTGGGAAGTACTGAATGCACTGATCCCAAATAACTTACCATTCATGAGTAAAAGATTATGCACATTTTATAGTTCCGTGGAGTTTTACTTTGTCTTCAGTGAGAGGAGAGGACTGTCCCTTAGCACAGCAAAGCCCACACATCCTGCTCCAAGCAGCACATCACTGAGAGCCAACGCCACAGAAGCTTGAGCCTGCTCTGCAGCAGACTATACTTTTATGCAAAACTGCTCAGAGTGACTCTTACAAGCTCTTCTGAGACAAGTGAAATCTCCTTTTCCTGCTCTGCTGGCAGTGGCTGTGTCTGCACAGGCAGACAGTGCAGCGCAGGAGGAGCAGAGCTGCGGGGAAACACGCTCGGAGCTGAGGACTCCATTCTGACACAAGGTGCATTTTTAAAGGTTTTACTTTAAGTTCTCTACTTCATGCATCTGAGTGGATGATTGCTGGGGTCAGATGCACAAGACAGACTTGTGAAATGGTTGTCCTAACTTGAGCCTATTTGAATTTAAGTCCAGGTCAGAAGTGAGTCTGCCTCCTCTCGCTGTGCTTCAGCTCACCCTGCAAAGGACCACAGGATATAAAGAGTGGTTGTTATCAAGTGAAACTCAACAAACATTCAGTCCTGGGGGGATCTGATGAGCCCCAAACTACAACAGCTATTCAGGACAGAACTATTAGAGCTATAACAGAAAAGAACTCAAGATAAATAAGAACTGAACTGCAACAGGCAGTGTTTCTGGATGAAAAGCTGTTTCTGAAGATCTCTTTCTAGGGTAGAAAGCAGACATTTTTTCAGCTGCACTGTTAAATTGCAGAACTGACTCAATGGCAAAGGTTTTCAAGGGAAAATATAATTAGAACTGATTCAAAAGGCAAATAACTTCTGTTTCACTCCCACCAAGTAGGCAATGGTTTTAAAGCTATATTTAGGCTTTAATAAAGCTATTTCCAAATCTGAATTTTATAGCAAAAAAACCACCAAAGTTTAAGTTTCTTAATAATGTGTTCTTGATCACAAGATAGAAATCTGATTGACTAATCAGCTCCTGCTAAATGACATTCAAGTGTCTTTCCACAGTGGACAGTCCTAGTCTTCAAGTTTGTTCCTGGCTTCCATATTTTCCAAATCTCTAATAAATTTGTGAGAAGGAGACAGAACCCTCCCATCAGGCCAGTAGCACCTGTCAGTTTTTCAAGAAACTTTCTACCATTAAGCTTCTACTCCCATGTCTAGTCCTCACTTTTGATGTAATAGGAATAAACCCAACAAAGGACAGCTCCCTTTTTTATTTTTTCAGCAAGACTTGTATTATTAATTCATATTTAAGTGTCAAACACCTAATCACATTGGACAAAACAGCTGCCATATCTTCTACCCCAATGTTTAATATCTTTATCAGTGATCTGGACAAAGGAATCATTGAGCACTTGAGGCTGTATCTTGAGTGCTGTGCCCAGCTCTGGGGCCTTCACTTCCCAAAGACATTGAGCCGCTGGAGTGAGTCCAGAGAGCAACAAAACTGATGAAGGGTCTGGAACACAAATCTGATGAGGAGGAAGCAATAGAGCTCCATGCCTGGAGATATTTAAAAGATGTGTAGGAAGATATTTAAAAGATGTGTAGATGTGGCACTCAGATATGGTTCAGTGGTGGACTTGGCAGTGTCAGCTTAATGGTTGAACTCAAAGATCACAAAGGTCTTTTCCAACCTGAATGATTCCATTTTTGTGTGAATGTCAGCAAGTAAGGAATGGAGGCAAAGGTCTCCCAGGGGTGAAATGACAATGCTGTAATTACTGTCAGCCGCAATTTGAAGGCTGTATTCAGATTTCCAAGCCGAAGTGATGACACAAACACTGACTACTTAGAATCAAGTCTTTCTGAACATGTGCAGTCTCACACAATAATTATTTACTTCAGAACTTTCATCCTAATTCTTCCTCTGCTCAGGTATTCAAGAAAATTCCTGGGCATTTGAATACCCTCAAAAACGTATTGATAAAAGGAATATATTGATACAAACGAGAAGCTCTTGATGGCCAATACAAATTATTACAAAGCACCAAAAATAAATATTAGTTCTTTTACCATCTTTCTACTCACATCCTAATGCTGATAAATGACAAAGCATGACCTTTTCCAGTAGATAAGGTAGATGACACAGCAGTCATTGTTTAAGAAATACTTACTGGGAAAAGTGAGTCCTTCAGGAAAACGTATGTTTTCATTTTTTCAGTAAAATGCAGGAACAGAAGTGCTTTTGTTTTTGTTTGCTGTTATTTTGGTTGGGTTTTTATTTGCAATTTTTGTTTTGTTTTTTGGGTTTGTTGGTTGTTTGAGGTTTTTTTTGCTTTCAATTCAAATATCACTGATTAATTCTTGGCAGACAGTACAAGCACATTTTTAGTGACATTCTGAATTACTTAAGTGAAAATTTCAAACATCCATAATTCAGAAACCTCAATTCCCTAGACATCCATTTCAACATCAAAATATTTACCCTATGTTATTTTAAAATAACTTTCAAACTTCATTTTCATCATTAATCTATTTTCCCTCTAAAGTTTTCACAAAAGCCACTTTTTTAATGAACTTTGTAACTGGGAGAATACAGAATGCAGAATAATGCAAGCTCGTGGAAAGACTTCTGAGATTATTCAGAGTCTTTGGCAACCTGGAAGTTCTTTCAAGATAAATGAAAAACAAGATTCTACAGTTGCCTGTCCCCTGGCACCTTGTAACTATAACTGGACTGAGCAAATTAAGTTTGACCACTACTGAGCAAAGATGTGCAGCTTTTAATTAGATGGCATGGGGGTGATGGCTGCAGGCCTGCTGGATGGAGCACAGTTATTGTGCCATTCAACCTTTAGAATATTGAACAGAGCTGCAAAACGGAAAAGCGCCTAAAAATCACCTCACCATTAGAAAATCATTTAATCCTAAAGGTTTCTATAGTGTTTAAGGGACTTCACAGTGGAAGTGAATAATCATCTGAAAGAGAAGAATCAGTGGACTCATCAAAATGCAAATAACAAATGAGAGGAAAGTACAAAATAAGGCAGTTCTGTTTCCACATTTCCTGAAACTGTACCAGATGGCCCAGTGCTTGCCTTTCATTAACTAGTGTGCTGGGATAAAGCTGTGTTAATTAAATCACTAAACTACCTCTAATTCTCTGTTATTTACTAATTCAACAAATTTAATTTTTTTTTTTTGTTTCGTTCAATACAGCAAATTCTAATTAAGTCTTGTAAAGTTGAAAGGATCAATAATTAAATAAAATAGATGAATAATGATAGGTGGTTGTCTGTTATAGCATTAGCCATAAAATACAAGTTCAAGGCTCAAACTAGCTCACATGGAAGGAATATTTTGCACTAAAGAGACCCCGTGGAACCAAATATTGAAGGAAGAACTTCCTAATATACTTGCTAGAGCATTACAAATGCTGCCAACACTCTAATCGAGATGCAGGCTGCTTGACACTGAGCTGTGCAGCTTTTCCCTGAGATAACCTTAGATCAGGACAGGCTTCCCAGAGCGTGGCTTTGGGGCCACCAAGGTGCAGAGCTTCTGCTGCCCTGTAGCAGGCAGAGGTAAATGCACAGCACCCCGAGCTGCACAGAGCAGGTCTTGTCTCTGCTCAGGTTCCCTTCCCCTCAGTGCCCAAGCTTGTCTGAAAGGCAGCTCCAGTGCCCAGTTGCCCTTTCCTCCCATGTGATCTTTTGGGAAAAAATAGCCATTTGAGTGCACCAGAACAAGCACCAGCTGTCCTAATTACTTCTAGCAGGACTGACAATTCAAGGGCTTATTTGAGTGTTTCCCTGGATTTTGCCCTCCACTTAAAACAAGCAGTCCTGGGAGATGTGTTGGGAGCTGTTCCTTTGCTCAACCACGGACAGTTAAGAAGTTCTTTCTTTTCCAAGATGCTGAAATTTGAGAGCCAGGAGAAAATAAAAGAAACAAATCTGTTGATTCCCCTGCAAGGACCCAGGTAGGTTTCCGGGTCCCTGCTGAGGAGGGACAGCAGCACTAGGACAAGACAGGCCTAGCCCAGCAGGAACAAAAAACCCTGGAGCCTACAGAGTGAGGAGAGGACTGCTCCCATTCCAGAAGGGCTAGCTCATATTGCTTAAAGAGTAACACAGCATAGCTCAGGGGCCATACTTACCCAACATATTCAAATTCCTTAAACAAACAAAAACCTCCCTGCAGCTGGGGTGCCAGCCTTCTTCGTAGGAAATGTAAACTCCTCAGAAAATATTTCTGAAATCACAAGAAATATTGGGAATTTCTTTTGTAATTCTACATGTTTTTGGAAATAAGAGAATTGTGCAGAAAACTGACATGTCAAGGAAAAAAGAAAAATCAAAACAATTATAGTGATTACAACGGCCACTCAGTGTTTGCATTCCAGCTCCATCCATAGCCAGTACCCTTTTCTTATTCTACTATACAAGGGGAAACATCCTGCCACTAAAACGTCTTTTAGACTTTCTAATACATGAAACCAGTGCAAATTTACCCAGCAATATAGGAGAATTTTCTGTCAGGAGACAGAAAATATTATTAAGCAAGGAATCTTGCTTAAGTACCTATTTTCCTAAAAGACAGGGCTGTATTGGATACTGTTGAGTGGACAGTGGAAACAGCAGCCAGGGGTAATTACCAATGTTTCTCTAGAGAAAAAAAGATTATCAGCAGCACAGAGAATAGATAACTACTTCCTTTGGTAACAGCTGTGGCACTAATACTCTTAGAAGGTTGGCAACCAACCTTCCATCAAATATTCATGCCAAATGCTCATCTGTGTGCATGACAGGTGTAACTAACCTGTTCAGCTTTTAATTCTTGCCATATTTGCGTTTATGATTCTCAGTTATATAGTTTCTTGAAACACTCCCCTGTGAATTAAGCCAGTGCCAAGGAACTGGAAGATATCAATGTTCTCTTGTACCTCAATAACAAATTATGATTTGATTCCCAAGAAATGGTGAGATTCAGGAGGCATTTTGCTCATTTAAAAAAGCCCCAGAAACAGATATAAAGTATACATGTACAGGATATATTAACACCATTTTTCTGCTGAAGCATTAGTGAAAAGAAAAGCAAGAGTAAGCACCCAAATTACACAAAAGGATGATTTCTTTGGCCAGCTTCTCATGTGGCTGGTTCAAAAATTTGAGTTTAGAGGAGCCCACAAGGCCTAGAGCCTGCTCAGGCAGATGAACAGACTGCTGAGGCGTCCAGCCCTTGGATAAAGCACATGGCATTTCCTCCTCCATCCTGCTGAGATCCTGCTTAGAAAGCACACTCCAGGTACAGGCTGAGCAATGACTCATGGCTGAAATACTGATTAAATCTCTAATGTGACCCTCTTGCCTTTGAGGGCATCAGCCTACCCTTCCCTCTCAACCCTGACCCAGTTCAGTCTCGAGATCACCCTCCTGTCCCCAGCAGCACCATGGCTCAACAGGTCACTGCTGACAAAACTCACAGAGACATCTAAAAGTTACTTTTTGGCTGCATCCTGCACTGATAAAAACACTGCAGAGCATCAGTTCTTAGAGTTGATGCATAAATCTCTTTTTAACACACAGATATTTTCAGAATGATTAAGAGGCAAACACCACGAATTAGGAACCCTAACAGCTTTTATGCTGGATTTAACTGAGATAAATAAAAGTTGTAGCCAATTTCGGTTATATTAACTCATGCTTCTTAGATTTGACTCGTTGGTTTTTTTCATATTTACCTAATTAAGCATAAAGTCTTCATCAGAAATTTTTGTTTAGTTGGTTTTTTTATTCATTCCCTTTTAGAAAGGATTGTTCAGCAAATGCATGCAGGCAAAGCAAGGAGTTCAGTGTTCAAACTCCATCCACAGCCAGGTAGCTCTTGCCTTAAGAGAACACAGCTGATATATGTACAGCAGACATGTAGATGTGCAGACATATACACAGAAGCAGAAAATGTTAGCTGAAGCCTGCATTCAGCTGCGAGCACCCAAAGCAAGGGCAATTTAAATGTGCTAATTTTCCATCAGCCAGCTCACAAGGATGATTCCACTGCTTTCTGACTGGTGACATTTTTGTTCAGTTTCCTGTGGGAAATGACTAGCCTGGATGGGTTCCTCTCTGGCAGAAATCATGGAAGGAGGTGAAAAATATACAATTATACTTTCTTCTAATTGTTTATGATGCTCAAGCCAAACTGTACCTCTTAACAAAGGAATTTAGGAGGTTCACAGTCTTCAAGGGATTATGCTCTACTGACTATCAAATAGCAAGCCTAAAATTTCCTTCATCTGTTCCAGGGCCACAGCAGACAAGCTTAAAAAGGCTCAAAACTTATTTTCAGAACATGGTTTTCTTCATAGGTTATTGGATAGGGGTTTTTTCACCTGTTTATCTTTGAGATTTTCTTTTTGCAAGAAAAAGGAGGAGTATATTTGTTGTATTTCTTTCTTACTACTGTTCTGGAATTGAGAATATAGAAAGACTAAGCTTGAGTGACTGGAGAATATTTGCAACAAGTTTAGTCTGGGAGAAAAAGCATTTGCTCTTCTACAAAAAAAAGATAGGTCACGTGAAAAACACTTCAGAAAGACAGCAAGAGGCATTTGGAAAAGCACTTTACATTTCTTGTAGAAGATATGTGGAAGAGGAGAATGAAAAAGCAAATATGTTACTTTTATTGACATGCCCTGATAGAAGGAAAAACAAGCCAGAGATACAATGAAATCAATCAAAAAATAATTCAATTATCGAGAAAATAATTGTATTGAACCGGCACAGTTTGCACTCACCATATTACAAAGTCCAACACATTCCTGTGTAAATTAAATGGTCATCACGCATCATAAATTTGCTTTTTAAATCTTAAATGTATTTGCAGTTCTTTTAAATCTAAATCCTTTAAACTTACAGTAACTCATCTGGAGATTGTTCTGCTATCTGTTACTACTCCAGATAATTGATTAACATATCTTATCAGGTATCAAGCTTGATCTGTGCAGAATTACAGAATTTTGTTCTTCCTTTGAAACACACTTTTTGTGGAACACATTTTCCACAATTATCAATAGAACTCAAGAGCAGAAATTGCATTTTAACCCTCGATTGCCTGGTTTCTCCTGTCTTGATCTTATTCATAGCATTTCAACTTGCTCATTTCCAGAGAACAGGTAAACAAACTAAAGGCCTAAGTAAATTATTTCAAACCCTACAATTTAAATGTCCAAACCCTCCAGTTTTATCAAGGCCTGTAAAGCAATAATGAATAAATCTGCCTTAATCACAAAGCAGTCCGCTCTTACTTAGCTTGGCATTTCCCGCTGTCTTTTTGCCATGTGATTTTTAAAAGTAATAATTAAGCTTTTGTACCACTATCAGAAAACTGGCAACATGTAAAACTTCCCTGTATGCACAGGAGTGCAGGAATTTCACAGACACAAAGCACTGTGGGTACCCAAACTGTCCTTGCATCCCACACCTCATTTAGAAACGTAAGTCTCAATTAAAAGTGAGGTATTTTCTACCCTGTAACAATCTGGTTCATTAATCTTTGACCCTATACACCCAAACTGTCAGTTGCTACGTAAGCTGCCTGCAGTACCATTCTAATCAGATTTTTAATTCATTTGGTGGCTATTGGCTCCTTTGCAGTCTCAAATAGTTGCTCTGATTTATTTTTCCAAACAAGTGTAATTTCGAACTTAGATACCTTGCTAATAGGTCCCTAGACATGTAAAGCTCATTGGTAGTCCAGAAATAACATATTATATTCATTAAAATATCCAAATTTTTTCACAATAAATTTTAACATTATGCACTGTTTCAACACACTGAGCAGCTAGTAAAAATTCAAACCTAAGGGCTCAACCCACCTTTGCTACCTTTTGCTTATTCAGTCACAATACTCATCCATAAATTACCTCCTACCTTCAAATATTAAATGAATGTACACAACCTTCTCTTACATATTTCTTTTCTAGTTCATCAATACCCACTGGTGCTATTTAGAGACCAAGAGAGAAACTAAATCCATACCCATCCTCCAGTAATTCTGCCACAATAAAGCAGATGAGAAACAGATTTTAAGAGCACTGTACACAGTAAATTAAGTTGTTTATTTTCAGGAGATTCATTTTGAAGATGGATCCCACACAAACACAAAAAATAGGTACCTCAGGACATGCAACACACAATGTGAAGTTTACTTTTCATAAATTCCCCACTTTCTAAGTCTGTCAGATTTGGTACTGAAAATCTACTTACTTGAGAAATTTTAAGTTCTCAAAAATGAAGAAACTTCCCAGACTAGTAAAACCAAATTCACTGTGGAAAGACTGCAATTTGGTAATGGAAGTTGGTCCAAAGTTTTACCTGCTCTCTCAATCCCTAAATGCTAATAAGGATTACAGAAGATATTTGGGTTTGCTCAAGTTTCATACAATAATAAGTAATAAAAAAATAATTGCATTTTCAGAGGGAAATGAAACACAGCCTTGTGCTAAAAGCACAGTTCTGCAATCAACAGCAAAAATTAACAGTAGATGTTAGAGAATAGATTAATTTCTTTTTCTTCTGAAGGAAAATGTGATAGGACAGAAATTTTAAAGTCTAATGCAAGTCTAAATCCAAAACCCTAACCTAGACAATTTTATTATAGTTTCTAATTAAACTATCCCCTCATGAACCTACTAGTACAAAGAATTTTTAATGCCAAAATGCTGATTTTAAGAAAAAAATGTATTGTTTATATTTATTCTTCGCAGGTGGAGTCAGCCACTGAAGTGCACTGCTGGCTGTTTATAAATGGCTTTTGTTAAAATAAGCTAGAGCTGCAAATATTTTAATCGCAGGTTGTAAAAGCAGAGGGAAAAAACAAGTTTTTTGTTGAACAAAGCAGCCTGCCACACTATTGTGCCCCCAGGGTGAACAGAATGCTAGATGCTTTATCAAATAAAATAAAAACAGCTTGTACCTTTTTTTACATTAATTGGCTCATGATTGAACTTTAATAAACCCACAAACTCTCTTTAAAAGTTTCCTTCCCATTTTTAAGCGTTATCTTTTTATTTCAAATTTCCTTAGCTAACTGAATTCCAGAACGAACTCAGCTCAGCTGAAGGCTTTTAATGCCATTCGGTGCTTTATTTCATTTCAAAGCATTTCAAGCCAGCATGCACACTCTAGCTCAAAATATTTTGCTATAATTTTCGTCAGGCTTCTTATTTATCTTTTCAACTGGCTCTTAGGTAT